CCAAGTGCAGGAGGAGCAAAGGGCAGGTTTTCAACGGTTGGAGGAGCTCCGGGAAGCCGACAGGCATCGGTATGAAGAGGATCAACGTAGGTTCTACGGACCTATGTACTCTTACATGGCCCAGCAGGGATCTTTTCAGACCATGGCGAACCCCCCTCCACCACCCTCGTGGTATGACCCCACTCATTGGGGTAACTTTGGAGGATCTAGCTCCGAGGGTGGAGGGTACGATGGCGGAGATGGCGGAGACACATACATGGGAGATGGCGGGCAGGGGAGCGGCTTCGGAGGCAGCTACTACGGCGGAGAAGGCGGACACTAGGGACAGTGCTTGGCCTAAGTGTGGGGGAGAGACTCTTATGGTATGTACTTTCATTTATTACCTTTCACTACGCATGAATTTCTTTTATCATTGGTTTTCAAAAAAATATAAATAAATAAAAGAAAAGAAATGCTAGTTAGGTTGAAAACCCAACAAAATGGGCAATCTAAGCAAAAAAGGCTTATAAAAAAATGAGTGAGTTGGGGAGAATAGAAAATGAAAAGAGATGCTAGGATGAAAACCTAAAAAGGCTCCTAGGCAAAATGAGAGATATGAGAGAAATATTTGTTCTTCCAGGCACTCATTTAATCTCCTTGGAGGAAAAGAAGAGTCAAGAAGAAGAAGAAGAAGAAGAAGAAGAAGAGATGATGAGAAGAGAAGATGAGCACTAGAAGGCCATAAAACCCAAGATAATATTTGTAAATTGAACTTAAAACTCATATTTTATCCTTGGTGGTCTTTGTGCTTTTATCTTGTAAAATTGTTAAAACTTTGGAAGACTTAAACACTTGTGAACATTTGACTTTACTCGAGGACGAGTAAAGAAACTAAGTGTGGGGGAGTTGATACGTTTGTAATTTCCATATGTATGTTTGTGTTTTTAATTGGTTTTGATTGATTTTTACTTTGGAAATTACACACTTTTGGTGTAATAGTTTAGTTTGTTAAATTCTTGTAAATTGTTTAGATTAGGTTTATTATGAGCTCAAACAGGTCTTGATAAACTCAAAGGACAGTTGGTGAACCCCAAAAGTGGAAGGAAGGTGCAAAAATCAAAAGAAAGAAGATCCTGATTTTTTGGTCTATACTCGTTCGAGTATGACCTATACTCGATCGGGTATCTTGTTGAAATTTCAAATCGGATCAGATCCGAAGACAAAGGATCATGCATAGGGCTGGATCGGTAAGGTATACCGAAAATTTCAACCCATACCGTATACCGTACCGAAAATGCGGTATGACAAATTCTTATACCGATACCGTACCGAGACTTTCGGTATACCGTGTTTCGGTATACCGAAATATCGGTTTGGCAAAAAACTCATACCTTACCATACCAAAGATTCGGTATACCGAAAAATTTCGGTATTACCGTACCGTACCGAATGGGAATTTTTTTACAAATTACAAATACTGATTAAAGGACTCATTTACAAAAAGAAAATGTCACAAGGGAAGGAATCAGCTACCTTAATTTTTGTATTTTGGTATTTATTACCAACTTGAATTTTATTTTGGGCTTGAAAATTTGTGTGGACTTCTACAATATTTAAAAAATATATAAAATAAATGTTGAATATGGAATCGGTACGGTATTATACCGGTATACCGCGGTATTTAGAAACATATACCGTTACCGTACCGAAATAAAGCGGTACGGTATGATACCATACCGAAAATGACGGTATACCAACATTCCGGTATTTTCCGGTATTTTTCGGTACGATAAGTGCGGTATACCGGTTTTCCGGTATTTCTGCCCACCCCTAATCATGCAGAGAAGATTCGGACCACGATCGAGTGTCCATACCCGATCGGGTACACCGACACACCCGATCGGGTATCTCTTCAAATACAAACCTGAATTCGGTCGAGTATGCCCCGGATCTGAAGTTATAAGCATACTCGACCGGGTACAAAGGTATACTCGATCGGGTATGCTTATGAAATTTTCCCTTTAATCGATCGAGTATACCTCGAATTTGAGGTATTACACATACCCGATCGGGTACCTTGTATATACCCGATCGGGTACCCGAGCTGCATCTCAAAAGCCTACAAATACACCCTCTTTCTTTCACAATTAGAGATCCAATTCCTTTATACATCTAAGCTCAGTCTAGAATAGTTCTTTCTTTATATTTTCTTCATGTTTAGTCTCCAAATGAGGAGCTAAACTCTTCCATCTTGGTTTTGCTACTTTGAAGCTTAATGATTTGAAAGTTGTGAGTTATTTTCTTTAATCTTCTTCCTTGAATATTAATTCTTTCCTATTCATATTCCATGTTAATATTTTGAGCATTACTTAAAGTATCAACTAGTTTTGTTTCTTATATTAATTATTACTAGAATCAATCGGTTAATACGCTTGTTATTAATCCGGTTATTTCAACAGTAGTAAACTTGGATTATTAATGCATGCATCTCATGGTTAATATGCCAAGGGGAATTTATTACATTGATTAAACCAATAAACCGCTTGTGTTGAGGTTATCAATCTCAATCGTTTTCATCTTAAGTTTATTGCTACTATCAAGTTAATATACGGCTCTTGTTCTATATTGACTCGATAATAAGTTTTATTAATGAACGCATCTCGTTATTAATAACTACCCTCGATGAACTGGATATACTCCTCGATTGAGTATTCGAGAGGAAGATAGTTAAAGATATAACCGGGATTGACGAACATTTCATTAAGTGGATAAAAGCAAAACCAAGTCCTCGTCTCTATTAATTAAACCACATAAGTCGTTCATCTTAGTGTTAATTAAATTAAATCAAATCAAACTCAAAACCCCCCTTTGTTACTCATTATATAAAAGAAAAGTATTCCTTTCCCTGTGGATACGAACCTTACTTCGTTATACTACGTATAATCGTTGTATTGTGTTTATTTTGAGTGCACCTCACGACAGGTGCACGTCAGTCTGCATTAATGTACGGCGTAGAGTGTTGGGCGGTGAAACAATGTCACATTCAAAAGATGAGCGTGACAGAGATGCGTATGTTGTGTTGGATGTGTGGACATACCAGAAAAGACCGTTTGAGGAATGACATAATCAGACAAAATGTGGGAGTAACATCTATAGAAGATAAGATACAGGAGTCTCGTTTGCGATGGTTTGAGCATGTGCATATAAGACCGAGTGATGCACATGTTAGACGACTTGAGGGGTGGGGAGAAGAGATAGACGGGAGAGGGAGAGGAAGACCCAAACAGACTTGGATTAGAGGAATCCGAACTGATATGCGTCTTCTTGGGTTGGATGAGAGCATGGCTTTGGAGAGAGCAAAATTGAGGGCGTACATTTGTGTAGACGATTGATCTCTTTTTTATCTTTCCTCTCTTTTTCTTTTTTCGTTTATCTTCTTTATGTTTTTATATTCTTATGTTATTTTATCATCTAGATTTTTAATACTCCCTCCATCCCAATTTGTAAGATACTTTACGGTTTACGATGTTTGACCGACGATAAAGCAAATTGATCCCTGTCAACACTCAAATTGGTTTTAGAAAATAAAATTTACATATTCAGAAACTACAATAAAACCGCTACAAAAGGTGCAAAAAATAATTCAAATTTCATAAACTTTTGATATACAAAGTAAAAGATTAAGAGTGGTTTGTGTTGACCAAGTGAATAGTAAATGTATCTTACAATTTGGGACTGAGGGAGTATTGTTTTATCTTTCTTTTATTCTTATGTTATTATTATCTTATATAAGTATATTTACTTATCTTTATCTTAACCGTTTTATCTTGTTTTTTTCTTTTTATTGTTTGTCTTCTCTTTTTGACATCGATATCATGGACCGATTCATGTTAACTGGTCCCAATATCTTTTGGGATTAAGGCTTGAGTGATGTTGTTGTAAAAGGAAATATTTGGGCAACAAGTAAAACAACTAATCTGATGATCTAATGACATGTGTAAAACTAATTGGTAAGAGAATAATCAATACAGATGGGTGATTGGTACTGTTGTACCGTAATGTGTCCTTTACGTACTGAAACGCGTAGATAGGCCATACGTGTAACTTTGGGAGCTGACATGTGTAACCGAAATAGGTAACGCCAGCCCGGGAACAGCTGTCATGTAGTGACATAATCCTGAATGTTTGTGATATCCAGGTGGTGATATGTCTAAGTCTACAGTCCTTGTACGAGGTCATGAGCATGGTAACGTAGTAGAGGTCAATTTACAGATACAATGAGCTATAATTTTGGAGTTATTTCGATGACCTGAGAATTGGTTTTGAGCTCAATCTCGACGAGCTCGGCCTCGGTCACAGTTGACGTAATGGATTCTGGAGATCCTTTATCATAAATGTTGATACAACTGGAGTATATGACAATATACTCCATCACAACCAAATTATCAAACATCCCCTGGCAACCAGCCAATTTATTCCGCTATTCAAATCTGCAGACTGAATCCGCCATTGATAATTAGCTATCATAATCCGTTATCCGTTAATCGCTAAATGTCAAACACATCCATTGTATTTTTAATTTTATATTTTACGGTGAAACTTTTATGATGCATTTTATGTCCTTTTATTTACATAGTGACTTATAGGAGTACGGAGTACTACCTTCATTCTCTTTTTAATGCAACGTTAGACTTTTTACACTATTCACATGTTCCACTTTGACTCTATTTTATCTGTTAATGTATTATAAATTAAATTTAAAAAGTATTGTTAAACTCCTCTCATTTTAAATTTTCAAACTCCAATTTTTTAAATTTTTTACTAATAAGGAATCAATGATATTAATGATCAAACTTTTGTATTGATAAACGTGAAAAGTGGACTGTTACAATTAAAAAAGAACGGTGGAAATATAAAATAAAATAAAATTATGATAAATAAAATAACCCGCTATAAACAATTGAAAGCAAAAAAGGGCAACATTTTCTTAATCTTTGAAAGGAATAATAAAGAGAGAATTCCCTAAATAGAAGTAAAAAAGTTTTGAAATTCCAAAATAGGAGTATCATGTTTTTTATTTCTTGAATAAGAGTAAATTTCTGGCAAGTTTGACATTACTAGGCTTTAAAAGATGACATTTTTTCCAAACTTGGCGGATTACTCCTATTCAGAGAATAAAAAACATGATATTCATATTTTGGAATTTCAAAGCATTTTTAGAGAGCAATTTCTAAAAAATAAACTAAATATGTTCATTGTATGAAGAAATTGCATTGCTTTAACTTCGACTGGCCTACCATCTACTTACATTCTACTGTAATCTTCCACATAATATTAATTAAACCTACATTAATTAAAATTAATTAATCAGTAATGGCAATCCAACGAATCCGGGCCGGAGAAGACAGAACTTACTGACATGGAATTACCATCACCATCATCACCAGCTTGATCTTCACCTGGAGCTGGTAAGTTAAGATCGAGTGTAAAACCAGTTGCAGGCTTTTCTTGATCATCGTCATCCATGGAGGAGGACGCGGCGGCTTTCGTAGTACTAACAGTAACACCGTTCATATGTAACGGCCGGTGTCTTCTCATGTGACCACCCAACGCCTGGCCGGAGAAGAACTCCGACCCACAAATCGAACACCCGTGAATCCTATTACTTCTCATGTCCTCTGTTTTTCCGCCGCCGCCGCCCTTGTGGCGGCTTTCTTGGTGATCCGATGTGCTCTGTTTCTTGTTATGGCTTGCTCGATGCCCACCTAAGGCTTGAAACGATGGGAATATCCGGTTACATGTCTTGCACTCGTAACCGCCGCTGACCGCCGCCGTGCTGGCTGTTTTCATCTTCCCCGCCTTAGGACCGCCACGTGCCAAGAGAATTAGACAATGTGCCACGTCCTCGTCTTCTTCGGTGGATATCTGACTGCTAGAACTTGCCTGAGAATGATCAACGGAAGGACAAAACATGCTGCCACCGTCCCCGCTCCCGGAGGAGCTCGAATAAACCGCCACCCGGGGCGGTGATGCCCGAGGACGCTTACTGCGCTTTCCTTTGCACAATGCCATCTTGCTTTGCCTTATCATTTTTATTAGTGTGGCCTTTGTAAGCAAACAAGAAATCAAAGCCACATATAATAGTTCTTAGGTCTAGAAAATGGTGAAGTATAAATAAGTGTAGTGAAGCAGAGAGAAAAAAGTTTCAGAAACTGTGTATGGAGACAATGAGGAGAGATTTGGTCTGGGAATGGAACTAATTAAGGCACTAGACAAGTTGTGTTGTAGGAAGGATCATCATCTCATCTTTTCTTAGACATATACCATGAATTTAGACAAGAGGCTTGTGCATTTATTTACACCTTATTAAGGTCTATGAAAAAATCTAAAAGGGAAATCTCTTTAACATACATAGTCAAAGACTCCTACAGCTAGATAGAGCCCCTATTTAATTAATTTGTTCATGTGATTGTATTGGCAGTCACTCTTAAAGATCACATTAGGGACTGGAGAAAGTGACTACCAGTAAGTTTCATGTGATGTAATTTTTTGGCACATTGGTTGGTTTTAAGTTTTAGCCATTTATTAAAAATAAAAATTAAAAAAATTGAGTGTTTTCAAGGGTATTGAGTTGGGTCAAGATGGTTTATTTTTTCTTCATTGTTTATTATGTGTGAAAATCAGTGGATACTTACTACCATATAAGCACTACAGAGGTGCCTGTAATGAACATTTGTTATTGACTTTGCAATGATACTTTGTCTCACATCTCTTTACTTTTTCTTCCTCCAATTACTGCACACACCCCTCTTCCTCTCATCACTGTCCAAACCCACCAATTTGTTGTCTCATAGATTTACTAAGGGCCTTGAGAATTAATGCCTTATTCTATGAAAATCAATTCCCTAGAACTTGCCGCAAAGGCGCTAGGCTCACTTGCTTACCTTTTACACATTTCGGTCATTAGCCACATTTAAACTTAAGTGGACTCTAGGTTCCAGATTAATGTGTACTAGGGCTTCATATGGTTCCGGTTTAGGGTGGACAACCAACTCTCTCCCCTCCCCTAAAGACTGGATCAAAACGGATGAGGTTCCGGTTTTGGATATTAAGGCTGGATCAAAACTGATACAGCTCGTATGTAGGGGTGGACTCGGGTCCGGGCCGGGTCCGGGTCAGGCCTAGGCCTGGGCGGGCCGGCGGTTCAGGAATGGTGGACCCGGGACCGGCCCGGGTAGCCTCCGGTTTGGTTTTTTTTTTTGCTTTCCTAACCCCCCCTCACCCCCACCCTCCCAACCCCCCCCCCCAAACCCATCCTACCCATCAAGCCCAACCCGGGTGGAACCCCAAAAATGGAAAAAAAAAAACAAAAAAACAATTTGGCCCGGGCCCGGGCCCGACCCGGCCGGGCTGGTTCACCAAATTTGAGACCCGAGCCCAGACCTAGAACCGGGCCGGTCCCGGTCCCGCACAGTAGCGTGCTGGGACGGTCCACGGGCCGGGTGGCCCGACCCGAGTCCAACCATACTCGTATGTCATTTGGTTCTTCTACCCAACACTTCTTCACACTCAAAAACCGGCTTGAACCACAAATATCAGAAACAGGAACAAGGGAATAATCGTTTTGATTCTCAAAGGTTCGGAAATTTGGCAATAGGATCCAATCATCCAGACCAACCCACCTCTACTGCCTACAAAGACTGCCTAGCAATTTTGAGAGCATGTGCTTTCATTATTGTTTTAAGAGGCTATGGTCTTGCATCTAGACAGGGTGTATGCAAGATTAGGCCAAGCATTGAAGTAAGCTCCCAATGAAGCTAGAAAATAATGTCTAACAATTGGATGGAGATGAAGATCTTGCAGAGAGCTTCCGCCGAGCCACAAGAGGCATGGGGTTGCACCTAGTCTTTTTCGACATCGATTCAGCAACAGCTACATGTTTATTTCTCACTATCTTCGATCAAGTAATGTGATTTGTTAAGCAACGAGTACGCCCCAGTGCTTTCTTCCCTATATTTTTCTAGGATTTGGTTTTTTGTCAATTTAAATGGGAAGTTCACACTATCAATCATGGGTCTAGTCTCCCTCAGGATTGCCTTCTTCATGATGATGAAGAATCTTGAGGCCAGGAACCGGTCCGGGTAGTTACCTTTTTTAGTATTCATTTTCACAGGTTAGCGGAACAAGGTGTTCTATTTAGATAGTCTGGTTCTCTTTAGTGGAGTATTTAATATGGTAATGAGTATTGAATTTTTTATGCGACAAGACTCAAGAGTAGTGTTTTACAAAACAAAAAAGAGTAGTGTTTTACACATGCAATTCAAGACCAAACCGGATCAGGGCAGATTGTATTGCCTAATTGAAACCGAACCAACATACCATCCCGAAACTAGCTACCATTTACACTGGTCCAATTCCAAAAAAATACTACCTCCGTCCCGGAATTATCTCCTTATTTGACTAGGCACGAGTTTTAAGATAGTGAGAAATGTATGGCAGAGAGTTGTGCAGAGGAAAGAGATGTGTAAGAATGATTGTGAATCACAAATTCTTTGCCAAAAAAGGAGAGAGGAGATAAATTTGGGACAGACCGAAAAGGAAAGAATGAAGATAATTCCGGGACGGAGGGAGTATATTTTTTTTTATCAGGGCAGATGTGACTAAAGATGTGACTTGACAAACCTAGAATTCCAATTTGAGCTGGAGCATCTACTCCCAAAACTGGGGAAGGGCCAAGTTCCAATTTTGAAGTCACACCTGACCAGAACTGAACAGGTAAAGAACCAGACTAGTGGCCCCTCTTTCATGTTGCAAACTCAAACTGATCCAAATTAGTTCCTGATTTGAAAAATATTCGAACAACCCAATGTCCTGTAACTAAAACCGACCCAGAAACAGCTGGTGTGGAACAAAAATCAGCCCGGATCCGCCCCTATGCCCTAAACCATACGCTAAACTCCTGAGAATGAATACCTGTCTCATCCCTCTCATGACAAAATGCAGCAAGGGAGAACTTGCACAATTCATAGGGAGACGTTGAAGCCCAAAATTTGGTTAACTTTCAATACCAATACACTTGAGCATTCCAAACAAAGACATGCCTAATAAACTCAGGAGTCTACATACAATCCTATTTTTATTTATTAGGTGTGAAACCTCTGAGAAAATTCAGCTTCAATCCTTGATTATGCGGGAGTTAAGCCAACCACACCTGGGAAACACATTCATAATGTTTGTATCAGTGGAACAACATTTGACTGAGCTAATGAAGCAAAGAATATATTGCATATCCTAATGAGATTGCAAATAATAGTCATGATGATGATCATAGTAATGATAATAATAACAATAACAATAATAGTAATAATAATTGTTAATGGTGTATTAAAAGTTTACTAATATATCACTGAACTATTGATAAGATTAGATTCAACATAGTATGCAATGCAAATCATAATGATAGAATTTGGTATTAGTGAATAGTGACTATAATGTATATATTCACAAACTGCACAAGAAGTTTTGTAAAAGCGCATGTAAAAAACTTGATGCAAAAAAGTAAAGAAAATATTAGAAATTTGTCAAAAAAAATAGTTAGTTTGATCAATAAATAGTGACTAGGATATAACAAGACACATCAATTGAGAGAAAGATGGTATGTATTTGACAATGCTTACTACTCGATCCCTAAAAAGACCAATATATTGGTCACTTTTCAAGTGAAAACAAATTATTGCAGCATATATCCCAAATATCTCTTTATAGAGAAAAACTTGCATTTGAGAAGGTATGTAAGTATGTTTCTTGTTTCTTTAGAGCACCAAAGGAACATTATTTGCTTTTTTTTCAAGCTTTCCCTCTTCTACACATGAACATCAATACAACAACATCCAAGCCTTACACAGTACACACAAATCAATAAATATCAAATTATCAATAATTACATTACGAACAATATAATCATTTTTCAATTAATTATTCAGGAACTTTAAAGGTTTTATTTTTTTACTCATATAAGAGCACCTTGAAAGAAGAAATTATGATTTCCCTTACCACAAGCCAACCGTCCACCTGCATTTCCAGTAGTGAGACTGAGCTCATGGCCACCTGCATAACGATGGTTCGTATAATAAGAACTTAAAATTTTAAATAGTAGGTTCAGATTAAACTTCAAAGAAATTTTTTCTTTGATTTATTTTGTTAAGATTATTTAGCATATTCATTCGTTTCAGAAGCATCTTCAACACTTTAGTCATTTTAAGCCAAACCAAATGGGTTCTATAATTGATCATCAAACCGGTAGAGAATAGTTCCCAAATACACAAAAATATATGACTGTGATTATCAAAGATTAGTTGGTTATGATTTTCTGCTTTCCACAACCACTTTTCAACTGCCAAAATCATCAAAATGAGCAATTGACCATCAACCAGATTATCAGACTTACCCTTTCCAAGGTCATCCTCAAGTTCATGAACCACAAAAGCTCTTCCGACAACCGAGTTAGGACCACTTAATGGTATCTGTACCAGAAATAAAAGAAAAAACTTAACAGGATTCCAAATCCCAAACAAGAACCACATGATGTTAAAGTATCCTAGATCAGGACATTAACCACATATCACCCACCATATAACAAATGGACTTCCTCACTTTGTTTCTTAGGGTCTAAAATCTAGAGTCTAGACACAAATCCGGATCTTGATGCTTTTGAGCTTATTTAGATACAAATTCATAGCATGGTTTGGCCACATAGCTAAATAAGGTTGAGTGGAGTACCTGGTGATCAACAATTGTTGCTTCGGCCAAGCCTGGATAGAGCAAGCAAAGTCAAAGGTGTGCCAAAAACTACAAATAATTCAATCAATAATTCAAAATTAAGAAGTACATTAAACAGGTTGAAGAGAACATATCAAATACCTTCGGCATTAGCCAATATGTTTCCCAGGTCACCCGCATGACGAACTTCATCCTCTGGAGCTCCATGTGTCACTTTATTTGGATTAAAATGTGCACCTATTTGAAATACTCACAGTGTTCAACTTAGAACCAAACAAACATTAGAATGAAAGGTGTGACATTTGTGAAAAGAAATTAACCAGCATTTCATATCAAACCTGTAGAAATGCACCCATTTGTTGTATCACCAAATTCGTGCTACGATGCAGCCAAAGATATTAAGAGTAAAGAAGTAAGTTTCTTAACCCCATGGCAGGACACAAGAAGATAATAAAGATATTACATAGCTTGATGATTGCTTACAAGGTGAAATCCATGAAGTCCAGGAGAAAGACCACTTACACGAACTTCCACTGTGGTTGGACCTATGGCATATTTGAAACAAGAGGCAATATGTAAATAAAGCTACAGCCATAAATGACTTGCATCAAGGGCGGGCGAGATGGGAGTAACCGCTGAGGCCCCAAATTTTGAATACCACATTGTATTACCAATTAAATACATATTGCATAAAATGTTAAACATTCAGAATAAGACATCACTGAAGTGGCTATTGACGAGGAACTGGCTAGTTGCCTGTGGATAACTGTGTTGGTAA